AAATTGAATAAAATCTTTCTGAATCTTGTTTTATATCCTTCTTTTGATCCTTTTTTTTCTAGAGCTTGATCTATCCTCTTCGTTTTCAATCTCCAAGAATTGGTTGAGATCGGATTCAGATGGTGGCGTCAAGACGGTTGCATGACCTCTAATCTCAACCAGGGAACAAGATCTACGTCGACTATGCCCAAAAGAATTTGTAATGGGCTTCGATCTCCTATGGCATTTTCATGTGTTTGGACTGCTCCGTCAAGCACCGTGGTCTCGACATCTATATTTCTTTCGTTAGGTCTGTTACCATGGACTCTTGGTTTCGATGGAGGTGAAGGGAGACCAGGTTGCTTTTGCTGCGGCTGCTCACGAAGGAGATGAGGTGGTGCCCGGCGAGTGGAATGGGTTGGGCGGTTGGCGCAGGTGAAACGAGTCAAACGGGTTTGGACGGGCCAACTCTCAAAACGGGCCGAAGCATGCACTTGGCCCGTTTTTAAGCTCAAGTCCGATTGAACTGATCCAACCGACCAAGCAGGGCCAGGTTTTAAAACAATGATTTAAACAATGTCTTCCATTTAATTAAAACCTATTGGAAATTGATTACATTCTGAATATAAAAAGTCAAAAATCTATCTTATTAAATAGTGCATATAGGTTAAACATTTAATATGATGAATTTTTGAATTTTTAATTGAATTTTAATTTAAAAAAATGACTTGCTTAAGGTCAGGATTCTAATTTTTTTTATGGAAGATAGGTTTAATATGTATTATTTGCAATACATATATAGTTAGATTCACTTCCACATAATTTACACATATATCACTTAACTTTTTATTCTATTTTTTAAAGAAAATAGTCTTTTTCATTTAAAAGAGACAAATGGTCCAGATTTTATTTAAGTGATGTAAGTAAGAGTTGTGTATAAAGTGTTCTTGGTAAATTTGAGATGTATGCATATTTGTTATTTGAAATTAATTTTCATGCCATTGCTTTGGAATCATTGTGATTCATGGTTTAATTATTTTCTATTAAAGAATACAAATTTGTTCATGAAGCTAGAACGGCACTTTTCAAGTTGAGTTTTCCAGCTTTCTGGCATCGATGCTTTCGTCGATGAATATGCGACAAATATTCCAAAAACAACTTTTAACAACATCTTCAGTTGTTCATAGTATAAAACATCTGCTTCTGAAGGGACGTGGCAATTTGAAATATCTGTTTACATCCTCAATGGTTAAAAGTCTTGTGCAACTCCAATTGCTTGAGATTTGTGATTGTGTGATGATGAAAGAGTTAATAGTAAACGAAGGATTAACAGGGGAAGAAAGTTTGTTGTTAGCTAGGCTTGAAACCCTAACTCTTGAAGGCCTTCCCAAACTCACAAGATTCTGCTCTTGAAATTACTTTGAGTTCCCCTTCCTGAGATGCCTTCATATAATCAAGTGCCCTTTGTTGGGGACGTTCATCTCCAGTTCTAATGTTGGGGAAACGAGTCACATGACAGAAAGTAAAATAGTAGAAAGTACTTTTACTTCACCGCTCTTTGATGCAAAGGTAAAATTTTTTGCTCTTTTTCCCTTTACTTTTCATTTTTCATGTCTTAAAATATTTTTTTTTTTTTGAATAGCAAAGGATATATATATTAATAAACGGAGTACAAGGGGTACCCCAAACCCTTAACAAAACTGAAAGAGAAACCGGCAATTACATAAGTGGAGAAGCAGGGTGTCGACACCCCCACAAAGTGTCGACACCGAGCCCGTGACGAGAAAAACCATCTGTGCATTAACACAAGACAAACCACAAACCAGCCACTAAAATGTTAATTCCATCTTTCAGACTATTCCTCCCTAACTTTTATCACCACAGTTCACAGTGAGGCATGCAATGGGATTTCTTATCCAATCCGAAAGAGTAAAGTAACACCAGGCTAATTTTGCTTTGAACCATAAGAACGATCGAATTTGAACCAGATCAAATAGCTTACCCGGATCCATCTCTTGGTTCTGGAAGATTCTTTGGTTCCGCATTAGCCATATGGACCATACCGTTGCGCTCCAGGTACAATCCCAACCTTTTCTGATCTTCGAGTTTTTGGTCCACGCCCCAGGCTTTTCAAATGTCTTCCAGCAGTCCTCTTGTATCTCTAAATTGATCCCCCACCACCTAGCACACTCCTTCCATATCCATCTTACATTTTTGCATTTCAGAAATAGATGGGTTGCGTCTTCTTCCTCTTCTTGACACAGGATGCAATTGCCATCACCCATGATTACGCTAAAACCTCGTTTCAACAAGTTAGACTTGGTTGGCAGTCTATTGAGCAGCAGTTGCCAGTTGAAGGCTGATATCTTGGTCGGGAGGATGGGGTTCCATACTCTCCTGAAGACTTTTTCTTGAGTCAGGCACCTCGGCTCCTTTGTCAAGAACGAGTACGCCGTCTTGGTTGAGTAGCGAGAATCCTTGCTAAGAATCCACTCCCACTCATCAGGACGTCCAGGATATATCTTCACACCCTCAATCATCGTACTCAGTTCCTTTGCTGCCTCTTCTTCCCATTCGAACAACTTCCTTCTCCATGTAATGTTCCATTTCCACGTTCCATTGCACATAGTTCCCATTTTGCAGCACTCTTTCTCCTTTCCTTCAGATAAAAGATACAATCTCGGGAATTTATTAGCTAGACAAATCTCCCCGCACCACTCGTCCCACCAGAAGCTTACTTCCTTCCCTTCTCCTACCTTCAATCTAAAGCCCTCTGCTAGCCACCCCGAGGATTCCCCATCTGCTTTATCTGTCCTTTTGACATCTCTCCACCAAGAAGAACAGTCCCCTGCACCATTCCTAACCCAATCCATCCAGTGCCCCCCTCCCTCACTGTATTTGCTTGCAATCACTTTCCTCCATAAACCCTCCTCTTTTGCTGCTAGTCTCCCCCACCATTTACCCATTAGTGACAAATTAAAATACCCTAGGTCTCTCACTCCCAACCCTCCACACTCTTTTGGCAAGCACACCTTCTTCCAACTGACCCAATTAATTCTTTTCCTTTCTCCCTCCCCACCCCAGAGGAAACTCTTACGGATTTTGTCAATAGCTTTGATAGTACCTTTTGGCAGGAGGTAAACTGACATTAAAAACACAGGCAAACTGGACAGCACCGAGTTGATGAGCGTGATTCGACCCCCAAGAGAAAGATGCCGGCCCTTCCAACTTGTCAACTTCTTTTTAAAAGACTCCAACAAGGGCTGCCACATTGAGAGCCTTCTATGGCTACCCCCGATGGGAATTCCCAAGTATTTAAATGGAAATTCCCCTTTTTTGCAGCATAATCTATAGGCCATTTTGCTTTCCCAGCTGTCTTCGACATTGATACCCATAAGTTGGCTCTTTTGAAGATTAATTTTCAATCCGGAGAGCAGCTCAAAAGTCCTCAATAAACTTTTAATCACCATGATGTTGTTTTCTGATGCTTCCCCAAAAAAGATGGTATCATCTGCGAATTGAAGGTGGGTGACCATTACCGCATCCTTGCCAACTGTCACGCCCTTAAATTGCTCTTTTTCAACTGCAGAAGACATTAGCCCATTCAATCCTTCCGCTATTATCAGGAATAGGAAGGGAGATAATGGGTCTCCTTGGCGAAGTCCCTTGCTAACTGAGAATTGTCTAGACGGGCTTCCATTGACTAGAACTGAGACCGTGCTGGATTGTAGACACTCTTGTATCCACATTCTCCAAGTGTTGCAGAAGCCCAACCTCATCAGCATATAGTCTAAGAAATCCCAGCACACCTTATCGTATGCTTTTTCAAAATCGACCTTGAACAAGAAGCTGCTCTTCTTTTTCCTCTTCGCCTCATCAATCACTTCATTTGCAATAACCACGCCATCAACCAACTGCCTCCCTTCGATGAATGCCATTTGTTGCTCCCCGATGACTTTGTCCAGCACTTTTCGGAGGCGATTTGCTAGTAGCTTCGCAATTATCTTGTACATAACTCCGATAAGTGAGATTGGCCTGTATTCTTCAATCCTTTGGGGGTTTTCCACTTTCGGGATTAGAGTTATGAAAGAGGCGTTTGATCCTCTTACTAGCCTTCCTTGTTCCTGGAACTCTCTAATGAAACCTACAATCTCTGGTTTTATATCTTCCCACATGCTCTTCACAAAGTTGAAATTAAATCCATCTGGGCCTGGAGACTTTGACGAACCACAATCCCAAACAGCATTTTTGATTTCTTCTTCAGAGAATGTTGATATGAGGGGTTCGTTGTCTGCCTCTCCAATCTGCCGGAAGCTGATGCCGTCTAGCTTGGGTCTCTGCCACTTGTCTTCTTTAAAAAGCTGCTCAAAATAATCCGCCATTTTTTCTTTAATTTCACCCACCCCCTTAAGTTGTTCACTATTAATCTGGATGCTATTGATTTCATTTTTTCTCCTTCTACCCGTCACACACCTATGGAAGAATTTGGTGTTTGCGTCACCTTCTTTTAACCACATCAATCTTGATTTTTGCTGCCACATGTTCTCTTTTAGTTTGAGGTTCTTCCATAGTTCAAGGAAGCAACTTCTCCTCTTCTCAATTTCAGTAGGCGACAAATGACCCTTCTCTCCTTTTTCGTCCATATGGGCTATCACTCTCTCAGCTTCAGTTATTTTCCTTTCCACCTCTGTCACTGAGTTCCTGCTCCATTCTTTCAACGCTGACTTTACACATTTTAATTTCTCCTTGAGCTTGAACCCATACCATCCCTCCACTGCCGTAGAGTTCCAAGTATTTCTAATCAGCTCCTTGCATCCAGGCACCTGCAACCAAGCATCAAAAAACTTGAAGGGCTTTGGGCCCCAATCCACCCGCTCATTTTTCAATAAGACAGGGCAATGGTCTGAAACAGTTCGATTTAACCCCCACTGTTTTACGTCGCACCATCTCAAAAGCCAATCCTCTGAAACCAGGAATCTGTCAATCCTGCTCATGTATTGTCCATTAGCATTATACCAGGTGTATTTCCTCCCTGCCATAGGCAAATCTACCAACCCAGCTCCGATTATGAAACTATCAAAGTCTTTCATTTCTCTGGACAACCCATTGGACCCTGCCCGTTCCCCTGAGCTTCGGACAGCATTAAAGTCCCCCCCTAAAACCCAGTTGCCTTTCCTATTGGAGATCAGAATCTGCAGCTCTTCCCACAGAGCCCTCTTCCCAGACAACTCACAAGGAGAATAAATATTCAGGATGTATACCGGAACTTCCTCTTCCCCCCATAAACCAAAAGCCCCGATGAAATGGTCCCCTTCTAACACCTCATCCATTTTAAAAATTTTTTTATTCCACATACAGAGCAATCCGCCCGACAACCCCTTAGATGGTTTGGCTAACCAGTCAAAATCCTCCATCCCCCACACCTTCCTACATAGCTTCCTGTCAACAACTTCCAATTTGGTTTCTTGAACAGCTAAGAATTCCACTTTCTCCCTCAAAATTAAATCCCTGATATGTCTTCTTTTCCCAACCCCTCCTAAGCCTCTAACATTAAAGGAGAGCAATATCATTAAAAATTGTACAAACCTTCTTCGCCCCTCCTGCTGCTTTCTTCTCCGTGACAGCTTTGGCATGGCTATCTCTATTCTCCATTTCATTAATTCTGCAGATTACCTCCTCGTCACACTCTGCCGTCGCTCCTAAGTGCTTGGCAAGCTCCCAAATCTCTTTGGCCAATTCCCGTTGCATCTTCCTTTTTATAGATCTATTGCAGTTCTGAATCCCACTGTCCCCTATAGAATCACCTGCCACTGCACCGGTTGAGTTAGCTATAAACTCTGGCAAGATCTGCCCCCCCGATGGCTGCTTGCTCCGGCTGCCTCTCCCCTTTTTCCTTCTCTGCTTCCACTGTGCCAAGACATCCTGCATGTATACAGATCTGCACGATCTCAGCCTCATCTTCCTTCCCTTTCGAGATTCGGTTACCCGCCTCACTCTCACATCGCCGGCACTCACCTCGTCACTCTCATCGCTACTCCCCGAACTGCCCCTTCTTTCACCGATTCTATGGCCAGAGCACTCTGTTTTGTTTCCGTTAAAAGCCCTCCTTCCACTAGAAAGTGGGCTAACTCCTTCCGTTGAGTCTTGGGCCAGGGGTATAGGATCGGGATCCTCACAATTTGGGCCACAACCTGACCCAACTCTTCTTTTAGACACCTCACCAAATGACTTCCTGATATTTTGCTTCACCAAGCCCAAGAGACAGCCTTCCCCATTTTTTGAACCTGCATCAGAAACGGCGTTCCCCCCATTTTGATCCGATCCAGTTACCCATGCTCTGTTTTCGCCATCCTTTGGAATTTTGAAATTTTCACAATCCTCTATGCTGTCAGGCACTGCTTCCATTGTCCTGTCACCATCTTGAGGTTCTTGGGATTGGACATTACCGTTGGAATCCCCTGTGCATCTCTCCACTACATCTTCTTCTCCGGCTGCACCTCCGGACTCCTCAACGGTTTGCTTTACTTCGCCTGCATCCTGCATATCAAGATCTTCCCTGGAGCTTCCTAACGACCATGATTCATTTTCTTCTGATTCACTTTGAAAATAAGGGATAAAATCCTGCTTTAATGAGAAAAAGCTATTTGTGAATTCCTCTTCCGAGAACCTTAAGTTGTAAATGGAGCCATTGATCATAATCTGTCGTCTAACGGAGATTGTATCCATTATCGGGGTGGATATCAGCATTCTTGCAATGTCAAACCTCCTTTTTTTGCTTGTGTTGTCATCCAAGCATATGAATTTACCCCAAGAGCGCCCCATTTTTTCAAAAAAATCTGATCCCCAAACGTTCAATGGAGCTCCTTGGCAGCGTATCCACACAAACCTCTCCTGAGCTATCTTATTTGGAGACCACGGTTGGACCTCTTTGAACCATTGTCCAAGCCATTCCGAAGCCATCTCAACCAGGTCCTTCAGCTCCTCTTTGTCATCACAATCCAGCAATACCAGCTTACCCCCCATGGCTCGAATTCGACAATGAAAGTAACCCTCCATGTAGAATTTCTCCTGTAAGTTCCTGACCATCTCGACAGAATGGACAGTTCCCACATAAGTTCCTTCAAGCCATGAACTATCTTCAGGTGTTACCTTATACTCCATGCCTTGCCAAATCTCCCCTGGTCCTTTCTCTTGCCAAATCATTCTACTATCTGTGCCTCTCGATCCTTTCACCACATCAGCAAAACTTCTTCCATGTATGTTTGGCCACGGGTTATGAGGAAATCTCAGATCCTCTCCTTGGGGATTTCTCCGCACCTTCTCCTTTTTTTCCATGGCATCAAAACGTGGAGTGTTCACCCACAGTTTGCGGTCACCAACCCAGATCTGATCAAGTTTCCTTTCCAACTCCTTTTTGTCAATGACATCCAGAAAACGCACAAAGCCAAATCTGTGACCGTTCCTGTTCCTCCTTCTCGGGCTGTATATGGCATAAACCCTTCCAAATTGTAAGAAAGTCTTCCACATTTCTGCGTAGCTCCATTCTTCTGGGAAATTGGTGAAGAAAAATGGTGTAGCTTGGTTATACAAGCCTTTTTCATATGCTCCACCAGACTGTGACTTCTTGTCCTGCACACGATCAACCGACGATCGCCTCTTGCCAGCTGGATATATCCTCCGACGCCTACTCCTTCCTCGAGATCTCTCTATCTCAATACCCTGAAAAGATCGCCCATCCCTTGAGCGATGACCACTTGCTCGTGCTCTCTCTCTTCCTCTCTCTCTCATTCCTCTCGTTTGATATTCATGTCTTAAAATATTTCCTTCTAATTTCATATTATATTTCATTTCTAGGTGGGATTCCCTAGATTGAAGCACCTTGTACTCAAAGATATGGAAAGCTTGAACTTGATATGGGACAACCAACTTGATGCAGAGAGCTTCCACAAGCTAGATCAGCTTTTGGTGGAATCTTATGAAAAACTGTCGAATACTTTTTCAGTTATTATGCTTGGAAGACTTCAAAACCTAGACAAACTGAAGATAGAAAATTGCGTTTCATTAGAAAAAATATTTGAACCTCAAAGGTTGAATGCTAGTGAAACACAAGCTTTGAAAATTGGTCAACCAAATTCGTTCGGAGCAACCCCTAATTTCCTATTTCCAAAAGTAACACCCTTGCTACTTAAGGGGCTACCCAGTCTCAAGAGCATCTACCCTGGAATTTATTTTACAGAATGGTTGTCATTGAAAGAATTGGTGGTGTTTGGCTGTAATCAAGTGCAGATACTTGCTTCAGAACTTCTGAGTTATTAGAGAACATGCAGAGAGAACCAACTTGAAAACCATGATCAATGCCCTCTATTCTTGATCAGTAAGGTATGGGCTCTAAATAATGGACAAAAAACAATCTGCATGTGCTAATGCATTACAGCTTTCATGTAAGCTCTTTCTTGCCTAAACTCATTTTTCAGTCTACAGATAATAGTTTGGTCTTAAAATTCACCAATTAATTATATTTAATATCTTTATCTTTTAGTCTTTCAAATGTTTTTGTGTTTGTGGAAGTTGTTTGTGGAATATTGAGTTGGAGTACCTCTTGTGCTCTTAATAATATTTTTTTAATTTGGCTGTATGAAAAAAGGGCAGAGGATTTAGATCATCTACCCTTTTCATACTCCATGGTTTGAAAATTTTCAAATCATATGTTAATTTCCAGGCTACCTTCCCCAGTCTAGAAGAACTAATATATAGCGGAGAGGAATAAGAGCATGAAGGAGATATGGCATGGTGATGATGTGAAGGATGGCATTGTTTTCACCAAACTTGAGTCTTTGCAACTTAAAGTTCTTCCAAAACTAGAAAGCTTCTGCTCAGGAAATTACAACTTTGAATTTCCATCTTTGGCAGATGTAACCGTGATGGAGTGTCCAAGTATACGGACTTTCTCTGAGGGAGAAGTGAGTACACCAAACTTGCAGAAAGTGAAATTGACAGAAAATTCAACAGATGAAGGAATTTGGTAGGAAGGTAGACTTAAACCCACACTACAACAGTTGTTCACAAAAAAGGTATCCTCTATTTCTTTTGTTCTATGCTTTCTTTCCATCTCCTTAATTGTCCTGTTAAAAGACACGATCAAATTAAATTTGGGGAAAGATTGTGGTAAATGTAATAGATAATTAGTAGTTATATGCGTTAACTAGACTTCTAAATCAAAATGTGCTGATTATGTTTGCAGAGTGGTGATGACGCTGAAGAAGACTGGTCTGATGCTTTGCATATGCTGTTCGATTAGGATGATGTTTCCGAGGAGAGTGGATTCTCTGATGCCATCAACTTGTCTGATATATTAGCTAGATCTTTTATACAAGCTGCTATATATATATATATATATATATACATTGGTGATACTTTCTTCCTTGTAGGTTGTATGGTGCACTCCTAATTAAGCTGGATTTCAACGGTGTCAAGCTGAATTTTTCTTGGCACCTAAAATGTTATTTCAATTCCATACAGGTTATAGGGTGCATTCACTTGTGCTTCGTCTTATCAAAAAGACTTCAATTTTTCTGGTTTGTATTGTGTGAGAGAATTTTTAAACTCGATTTTATTTTCATTTGGGTAACTTGATGCTGCTATTAGATTATGAATGGAATTATATATATACACACGTCTTATGCATCTATTAATTATATCTCTTTTCTACCTTTGCAAACCCTCTGTTGGCTAATTGGCTCAGTGTCAGCCATGAATTTACCCTTTACTCAAAAGTCATGCAGTCTAATAATAAAATTACTTGTGTTATTAGTCACAAATCTAAGTTAAATCCATCGTCCCTACATAAAACATTTACCCTCCACTCACAATTTTAATGATTCATTAGGTTCCTCAGACTATAGAAGTAGAACTCGAGCGTAACTTTATAAATTTCAGCCTACTATCGTGAGTCGGTCCGGAGCCCAGAACTGTTGACAGGTCCTGGGCCAAATTTAACGCGAGCAGGCCTGGTTGCGCCCAGCCTATGCGATCAGCTGCCCTTTCTTTCACTAGTTCTCTCTAGCTCTCCTCAATCCAGAGGAAGTGGACAACTCCCTTCACTTAGCATTCCGGTAACCAACTCCAACTCTAATGATGCCTTTCGTGCAACAGATTATCCGGAGATATTTCCACTGTTTTCATGAAGTTTGGGTGTCTCCAAGACAGTCTGGTCATAGCTCTACCTTCGGCTGTTCCTGTTCTCTTTCGTGCCTACCAAATGTTTGTTAAAATGCGCCACGGACATTTTCAACCAAATCTGGCGGCAGTGTACGTAAACATATACTGTTGCAGGTTAGTTTTACTCTAGAATAAAATTAGTTGTAATTTTATTTTATCTTAATTTATTTTTCGTGATTTTATAGTTTTATCCTAGTAACTTTTAAAAATAAAATAAATTATTAATAAATTATTTTTTGTTTGCTGGTGGACTGCTAGTGACGATTTCTTTAATAAACTATAAATATACATAGAAATCTAAGAATAACTACACTTTTGGGTTTGTTTGTCAGTATTGCATTGTTATGTGGTTATAATATAAGTTGTTTTTTATTTTTTTGGTATTATTTCTTATTTAAAAATATATAAACTATTAATTAAAGTTATTTAAAATATATGAAAAATTAATTATTAATAATAAATTGATATTTTTATATAACGTGATGTGCAAAAAGATGTGTGCAAAATATGATTAAACTGAACCATAATATCTAAATTTTTTTTTACATTATCAAATAATAAAAAAAAGTATATTTTTAGAAAATAAAAAAATACATTTTTTTTATTCATCTCTTAGTTTTCTTAGCGAAAAGTTATCAATAACTTAGCTATTCCGCTTTCCAAAATAAGTTTCTCAAATTAAACTTATTTTTACCGCTTGACATTTTATAATTTAGTTTTAATTAGAGAATAACCACAA